ATATTTTAGTATAAACACCTATACAGGACTTCAACTATTAACGTTTACATGAATGTGATTACCTGTTGATCTGCAGACGCACGAGGCTGAACCACCTGAATAGTTAAAATGGCCAAGGCCATTCTGGTAGCAAGTAACAGAATCTGAGCCCAAGTCAGTTAGACTAAAAGCCTAGGATGCTTCTACTCATACTGAGTCTCTAAAGTAAGATTTCAGAGCTCTAAGTAAAGCACAAGATATGTCACTAAGTTTGAGACTAGCTTAATTTAATTTAGACATTTTTATAATAGAAATTCCTGAAAATATCTTGCTTGTCTCCCCTTTAGTCTGGCTTATGACTCTCCCACATCAGGTATCCTATTTGGTATCAAGGTATCAATCTTAAGCAGAGGAGAAAGATGAAAAACAGAACTTCTTTGTAGGTCAACCATAACTTATACATTTTGGGTAGAATAATACAGCTGCAGAATCATTTTTGGAACAAAGTACATTGCCTCTACTATGTGATTACCTTTGTTTGTCTGTCTCTTTCTTTCTGCTGGGGATTGAACCCAAGGCCTGTGCACATGCATGCTAGGCAAGTACTCCATACCACTGAGCTACATCAACAACTCCCTTTTGATTTCTTTTTAGAACCATCACTTGAAGGAGGGAAATAATTAACTTTATTTAGTACATATGTGAGATTTCAAACTCACTTGAAAAGAATGCAAATTCTCAACACTAGAAGAATAAGACGTAGCAAATCAGAGGTCCACGATGAAAACCTCTGACCTACCAATCGACTGAGCTAACATTTAAAAGGATAAAAATTCTGACATTAAAAAAAACTTCAAATTTTCCCTTTCCCCTTTTCTCTAAGAAAACTATAGAACCCTCTACATACAAGCAACTACTTTTATAGAATTTCTATCTTTTTCCACATCAACGACCCTCCAAATAATTGAAAATGCATTACTGGTAGCTAAGATGTCTGTAACTGGGTTTCAGCTTCCAATTATTTCAATATTATCTCTATTAATCAAACAAATTTTGATTAACTGATACTTTTTAATTCAATGGAGCTTCTGTAGCCTTCTCAAACAACAACAACAAAAGGGCAAGTATAAGGTTATTATATAAGAAAAGAAGACAATAAGGAAGCTATACGATAAGATGGTCACTACGATTATCATTTACCTTTATAGAATTATCCAAATTCTTTCTAAGAAATTTTTAGTGGATTAACTCTGAAAAATTGCCATCTGAATGTTATCATCAAATGTATATCATGTACATACTCTATGCCCTAACAGATATTAGACATACATTTCTAACATTTTCAAGTGAGAAATGCAAGGTAGTGAGAATAAAGTTGTGATATTTTAAAAGTCACAGATGTTATTAAAATATCAGAAAGATTCAAAGGTCCTATTGATTTCATTTGAAAGTAGGAGGATTATTATCATTTCAATTACTAGTATTTTGCATATTTACCTGTATTTATACTTTCTACTCTTAACGGGAAACCAGACTGGGCCACAGCTACAAGTTTCAAAGCAATGTAGAACTGACTTCGTCCAAAATAACCAAGTCTTGTTGCACCACATAGTTCCATAATCTATAAAAGAACAGAATGTTAACATTAAGATTTATGGCAAAAATTCTCCATTCAAAAATAAGCAGCTATCCTACTTGTTTGTAACTTCTTCAAAAATACTTTTCTAATATATGGTAACCAATTTTTTCAAGTTTCAGGTTCGTACGTTTGAAAAAAGGAACTGGTTGTATAAGAAAGTTATCATTCTCCTATTTATCAAAATCCATGTAGTGAATAATTTTATTTTATTAATGATTTTTCCTTAAGATTCACATTATTTTTTAGAAATATATCATCCATACTCTTCATCATAAGCACTGTACATACAACAGTACCATGCAACCAGTAGCTTATTACACAGCCATTTAAAATAAGGTTATAAAATGATAAAATAACATGGCAGAATGCTAAGATATATTAAGTGGAAGAAACAATCAAGGTACACAATTATAACCACAGGAAAACAAATTTGGAAATTATCAAAATTCTATCAGCTATTTTGTTAGGCAAGATTAATAGCAGGGCTTTACTGAACAGGCAGTCACAGAAGAAGAAATATGAATGGTTAACAAATATTGAAAAAATATTCAACATCTCTAGCAATTAGAGAAATGCAAATTAAAACCACACTGAGATTCTACCTCATTCAACTCAGAATGGCAATTATTAAGAATATAAGAAACGGGCTGGGGATGTGGCTCAAGCGGTAGCGCGCTCGCCTGGCATGCGTGCGGCCCGGGTTCGATCCTCAGCACCACATACAAGCAATGATGTTGTGTCTGCCGAGAACTAAAATATAAATATTAAAAATTCTCTCTCTCTCTCTCTCTTAAAAAAAAAAAGAATATAAGAAACAATAAATGTTGGCAAGGATGGAGGAAAGGTACACGCATACACTGCTGTTGGCACTACAAATTGGTGCAACCACTCTGCAAAGCAATATGGAGATTCCTTAGAAAACTTGGAATGGAACCACCATTTGACTCAGTAATACCACTCTTCGAACTATACCCAAGGGACTTAATATCAGCATACTACAGTAACATAGCCACATCAATGTTTACAGCAGCTCAATTAACAATAGCTAAGCTATGGAACCACCTAGGTACCCTTCAACAGATGAATGAATAAAGAAAATGTGGTACATATACATAATGGAATGTTACTCAGCCATAAATAAGAATGAAATTTTGGCATTTGCCAGTAAATAGGTGGAACTGGAAACTATCATGCATCCCCCTAAAAGACAAAGGCCCAATGTTCTCTCTGATATGTGGATGTTAACACACAATGAAGGGGAAGGGGAGAAGAATAGAAGTTCAGTGGATTAGACAAAGGGGAATAAAGGGAAGGGAGGGAAGATGGGAATAGGAAAGACAGTAGAATGAATTGGACATAACTTTCCTACGTTCATATGTAAATATACAGTGTAACACTACATTATGTACAACAAGAAGAATGGGATCCTAATTAGAATAAGTTATACTCCATGTTTGTATAATATGGCAAAATACATTCTAATGTCATGTATATCTAAAATAGAACAAATAAAAAAATAGCAGGGTCTTTTTCCTTTGTTTAATATAGTTATACTACTTTGATTGAAACACAAAGTTTTTTTCCCTTTCTCTTTTTTAAGCATAAAAGCTTTCAAGGACCTACACTGATCATTCTAGTTATTCTTAACAAGTACCTCTTTAACTGGCTACTACAGGAAAAATATCTCAAAAAGAGGATTTCAGATTATGAGATAAAATAATAACTTTAAAAGGTATAATTTTTGCTAGACAGATATTATAAATTAATCTTAAAATAAGAACTAAGTATCCTTGTCACATTTTTCCAAGAAAACAAATTATTGGTATGTTTCACTGATTTTCTTTTTCTGGAATTCAAATGAAGTTAAAGTACACTTGAGATGTTGTAGTATTAAGTTTGAAGTATATAAAGAATTTCAGAAAAGTACCAATGTTATCACTGTTATATATTCAGGGTCTTTAAGAAAAAAGAAAAGTTGTATCTGTTGGCTGACCTGCACTAGAAAAAATTCCTAGTTCTGCCACTAAGGGGCATGCACTTCTGAGGAAATTGAAAAAGGCAAAAGAAATTCTAAGAGTCAGGTTAACCATTAAAGGAACTATGAGGAAAACAAGGCAGAGTTAACAAAGGAAGGCCACACAGGGTTATCTGCCATGCAGGCATTTTTATTGTGATTACTATCTTTAGCACTACTCTTTTCTGCCCACCTAATGCCTGGGAGGGGATCATTACACATCTTAAGATAATTTTGTATGTAAAATAAAGCATATAAAATAATGTCATATACTTTCCAAGTAATCTTCAGAATCATTTGTTAGAATAAATTGAGATTTTACTTGGGATGGCACTCTATAGTCTTATTCTGAAATTAAACAAGATCAACTCTAGTGTTTTGTTATTAAGCATAATACCGTATAACACTCTTAACATCTGTTATGTTACTCAGTTCCATTCTTCTCCTAAGAGTTTGGTTTTGATTCATATTTTCAAAAACAAAATATAGATGTTACTATTTGCATTTGGGTAGAAAATTAAAGACCAAGATTTTTCTCTTTGGTCTATCAATAAGTACATTAATAGATTTCTTAATGTGGAGCTATCCCTTGGTTCCTAGAAGGAATTCCATTTAATCATGGTGTATGACATTTTAAAAATAACATTTGTAACATTTTAACCATAATCTTTAAACTCTCTTGGGCAGTAACAGGGATAGAACCCAGGGCTTAAAGCATCCTAGACAAGTGCTCTACCACTGAATTACATCCCCAGTCCACAATTAAACTTTTGTTAGAATAAATCAATCTGTTAGGTTTTTAATTGGAATTATGATGGATTCGTGAACCTAACTAGCAAGCTTTACTTCTTTTCTCTCTGCTCAGAAATATTTTTTTTAATTTTAAAAACAACTTTATTTGTACATAATAATTATACATAATGGTGGGATTCATTATTACATATTCATCCATGCACATTATATAATTTGATTACTTTCATTCCTCCAGACAATATCTTAAAATTATACCCAGTATGTAACCAGTTTCCAATTAAATTCTTCCAATTTAAAAAAGAGAAGTTTTCTACTTTAAACCAGGATTTCAGTAAGCTCCAAGCAATGCAAGTGGCTGATATGTCTCTTCTCTCTTATCTTGTCTCTTTTAATTCATAGATTTTACCTTCATCTTTTTTTCTTTGCCATTCATTCATTATAGAAACCAAGTAATTTGCGCTGATTCCATTCCCATGGCATCGTTGGACATGTTTCTCTATCCCTCATCTTTATTGTGAATTACTGGTTAAATTTAGTGGCTTGCTCTGATTTGAGTCTGATTGTGGATGGTGGGGGAGGGCAAGGGCAAGGATACTTTCTAGGTATTTCATTTTATTCTCATCAGGAGTAATGTCTAATTCATTTCCCCCCACTACCCTCTTCCTCAATGTGAGCAGCCATTGCAGAAATATTTTAAATAGATCAGAAATTATGCATTCCATGAAAAGCTGAAAGAATTCACCTATGATTACAGGCCAGGCTGATAGGTATCTCCATTCTTTCATGTTATTTGAAATTAGCTAGGTTTTTTATTTCTAAAGTATTTGATAATTTCCTAGAGAATCATTTATCATCTCTAAAATTATGAAATATATTAATTCAGCATCTTTCAGTCTTACTCTTTTAATTTCCTCTCTATGGTAATTTCCTCTTAATTATGTATATATATGTGCATACTCACTGTCTAGCAAAGTTAAATACCTTGAACATGAAGAATACTTGAAGTACTTATTAGGATATAGATTCTGTTGACTATAGATTCTGTTATATTAAGATTTCTAACTCACCTACAAAATCCAGGGCTAGCTAGTTGTTGTTGGTATATTACTGATAGCTACTGAAAACCACTAAGCTTTATTTTCCTGACATTATAAAATCTACATAATCATAGTAAAATACAAAAAAAACAGTACTTAAGGATATGAAGTTTAAAGTTCTTACAATTCCATCAGAATAATTTACTTCCTATGTTTTTCTACATGTATATAAACACACAAGCACACATATAATACGAATGGTCAACAACTATCAGCATATATAGGTCTCTCACTTTCTTATATAGCATTTCATCACATAGATTTATCTGTCACAAATTAACTAATCCCCCACAAGGGGCATTTAGAGTGTTGTCAGTTTTGTACTACAAATAATAAAAACATTATTGTGTACATACCTCTGTCTACTTGTACAACTAACTGCAGGACAAAATTCTAGACACAGAATATGCTTTAAAATATAACACAGCCAGGCACTAAAAGCTTTGTCTATAACACTTAACTGACCAGCACAGAATCCTACCTGCATGATCAGAGATGTTTTTCATTAGCTTTACTGGCTTCACAAAGAAGAATCATCCCCTATGTAAGTTAGTATTGACTTATTTTCTAAATGTTCTGTCCCATAATGTTCACCAAAAGTCACTTACTACTAGGTAAAAGAGAGACTACACTTTAAATTATGTAACTTTACTATGCCTTGGTTTCTTCAAATATAAAATGAAAAAAAAAATAGTAAATGATCTCTTTGGTTACTGTCAGGATGTGAGGAAACTATATTCAATAAAGCAGTCCACAAATATCACCACTATTACTCTTCATTTACTACACTAACCACAATAGACTTCATATAGTTAGGAACTCTAAATACTAAGTCATTCTTGAAAACCATATTTTCCTCAGAGCCTTTAAGCACATGAACTTTACTATAATTTTGTGTACCGGCACACTAAGGATTGGATCGAAGGCCTTGTACATGTTAAGCACACTCTAACACTGAGCTACATTTCCAGTTGAATTTTATTATAATTTTTGATGGGAAGCCTTCTAAAATATAAGATGCTCTAAGGCCTTCACAAGTATTCTAAACTTCTGGTTTAAGCAACACATACTGGCATACTACACTGTATTTTGATGGTATATTCAGGGTCTTTAAGAAA